GTGTGTGTGTGTGTGTACGGGTTTTTCCTACAACATGGGGTATATTTTGCAAAAAAAAAAAAGCAGCCAGGTGGGGACCGAAGTGAACCAAATGCATGTTACAGGTGTGGGGTTAGGTTTAGGACCAAGGTTTAGGTTAGTTTTAGGGTCAGGTAAGTTTCTGTGAGGTTAATTTTAGAGTATATGGTCAGGGTTAGGATATAAAGTCTAAAAAACATGAATGGAAGTCAATGGAAGGTCCCCACAGGGTCGAGAAACAAACGTGTGTGTGTGTGTGTGTGTGTGTGAAGTGTTTCATTAAGGAGACTCTAAATCAACACAGTGAAGGATGTCAGAACCTATCAGACAAGACAAATAGCTGAAACATCCGCTCATATTTTGGATTTATGTGTTTACAAATGTGCATATGTTGCCCACACACACCAAATCTGCCACATAAACAGATTTGAACATCAGTGCACATCAGGCAAAAGGAAGTTTCTTCCCGCTTCTGGGTGTAGCAGCTAAATAGTGGGTGGAAGAAAATTTGGATTTTTTTTTTAAGAGAGAAAAATAAAAATCCCTCTCAGTGATGACCTACTTTCACACAAGTAATCCTGCCTGAAAAGCAGCGAGCAGAGCTGAGCTCTAATTAAAATGGCTTCCAGGAGAGGTTCAGCAGCTGAGGTGGACACTAAAGTGMGACTGGTCAGTCTGATACTTAACATTAAAGATCAGAGAGGAGCTGAAAACAGACAGAGGGAACTCCTGTTACCGTTTACCTGTCTGATAAACAACAGGTTTATGTAGAGGGATGAGATGTGACACTTTGGCCTCAATAACCTGTCTCACCACTATGTGAAAAACAGAAAACTGCATCACTTTTTTTTTTCTTTTTTAGTAAATATTAGCACATTACAGAGCAGATATTATAAGTCAATAATTCCCTCTAGGACCAGCACCACCTCAGCTGAGCTGCTGGACATGGACCAATCTTTCTGCAACCTGAAGGCCACAGAGGAAACATCCACACAAAGAGATGAAAAACAATAAAGAGAGCATTCAAATCCTTTGACGTGAGGTTCTGTTAAAAAGTTTATGCATGAAAAMGATTTTATATATTGTTTAATTCTGACTCGATTGATGAGCTAACGGCTAGTCTAAGTGGAGCTAAGTGAACCGCTGTCATTTTAAAACATYTCCAAATTTCACAGCAGTTCAAACWAATTTTTTAAAACCTTTAGACAACTGATAAATCATCTCTGCTTAAATAYGATATTCCTGTCAGAGGTGCACCAGAACTGCTACAGCTAGCCRCTGTTGCTGATATTTGCACTAGTAAATAACTTCAGAATTCTGTGCAATTCACTTTTATGTGAAAGTGGTAGCATCGGAAAGTTATATAAAATAACAATTGTGTGAATTACTATGACGTTTTGTAGATTTTAGCTGCTTGGTCTCAGATTTTTATGTTATTAGTTTTACATTACACCAAGAGAAATTTTACAATCCCAAGAGAAATTTTACAATCTTTGCTGAAATTGCTCCGTGCTGCACCACTTTCCTTCTAAGTTTGATTCCAAAACAAACAATTCCATGTAAATATTGAGGTAAAACTAACGTCCACCTTGTCTCGCTTGGATCAGTTAGAATTTAACTCTAGTTCTCCAAACTGAGGCAGCTCAAAGAGTGACCTGAAACAGGTAAGATGTTCATTGTTCATAACATTTTCCAGCAGAACCTCATTTCAAATGATTGGAACGATCCCTATAAAGCAACGACTTGAAAACATAAAGCACCGAGTGTTTACACACAGAGACCCGTAATAATGCTCCCACCCACCTTACACCTAAATTCAAAACAACTGAGGTAGGGAAGACAATAAATTAGAACTAATATTAACATTAACGACACAAACAAATCATGATGGTTCAGTCACATACTGAGAGCAAACGGGCACCAAGTCCAGGTGTTGTGAGTTATCTTTCAATGAGGTTTAAGCCAAACGCACAGATGAACACTTTACATGATTCTCCAGTGTGCTCTGTATCGGAAAAGCCTCGTCAAAAAACAGTCCTTAATCCAGGAACGGGAGTCCCACAGAGACATGAGCAGACTCACGTCTCACTGTCTGAAACCTTGGTGAAAGAACAGAAGGACACTTTCATTTAAAACCAGGCTGCAGGCTGTGGTTTTCATGTCAGGTGACAAATTGTTTCCACCGCCAGGCTGATGCAGTTTATCTCCCGAACGGCACCACACCAGAATGGCACTTTCGAAGTTGGCAGTAAACAAAATCTGAAAGGCTTTTTCTTCCATCTCTCCTCCGGACTACATAATTCACCATTTTACTATCTAATCCACACCTTGATTGCCTCGGAAACTGCGACTGCATCGTCACATTCTGCCACTGGAAGGGGGCGTGGCTCACAGATCAGCTGACAAAGGATCCTCACACWCTTTGATCCTCACCTCTTCCTCCACACCTTTGACAGCCAGATCTTCACCGTCTTGTCACTGGAAGAGGAGGAGGAGAAGTGGAAGGATGAGTGAAGGAAAAAGAAACACACACAACAAAGAGGGGGAAAACAACACATCATCAATCAGGCACTCCTCCCTTTCAAAACAACTCATTTCACATCAGATGCAACACAAAGACGCAGACTTCAAAGTGCACTCCTCATTAAAGACCTTTCTGCACACCGACACTTCTCTCTGTGAAAAGTTTAATATGGTTATAACTCAGCATTAACATGGAGGCAACAAAGAGAGTTTGATCACCTTAGAGTCCACATTTAATGRTAAATCAGATAAAGATACTATCCAATAACACTGTCCAACAAAGTTACACTTAGCCAGATGTTAGAAGACGGCAAAGTGGTTTCAACGAAACATAACCATTTTATACGTTTATTTAATTCCTTGGTGGAACAAAAAGTCATATTTTCCCTCAGAGCGGAGCAACACTCWTAACAGCTAAATGAACAGAACGGAGCACAAAAAAGAAAAAAAAAACGGGAAAAGAATAAGAGTTAAAGGACTTGAGTTAAGAAAACAGAAAGTTGGGAAATATACACCAGCAGGAAGAAGTAAATGACTGGTAAAGAAAGTACCAGAGGAATGGAGGGTTGGTGAGCAGAGTACAGGCAATCATGGGAGGCTGGTGGCTCGGCCCTTGATGGCCAGGACCCGACGAGGAAGACACGGGGTCAAGCCTGGCACATAGTTCCACAGTTTCACCCTGCAGTCACTGAGGTCCAGGAGGAGGAGGCGSGGGAGGGGAAAAGACCAACAGGAAGGCAACGGTAAGAGAAAGGAGATAACTTTCAGAGACCAAAAGAAGGAACCATTTGGTCACAGAAAAAAGATGATAGGAGAATAGGAGACCATCACACAGAAACACAACAGTAAGGAGATGTTTTGTCACTCAAAGTGGACAGCTAAATAAGGAGAAATGAAAACAATCCAAATAAAAAAATAAAAAGCATCATTTTTATTTGCTGCAGCCAAATAATTAAAGGCTTCAGTGTGACACTTTCTCAGCAACTAGTATGTTCAATACCTTTCAAATACTTCGAATAACACAATTTCACAGAAATAAACCACTTGTATTGAACAGTTTACTCTTAACTTCACCAGCATAAGCTTAATAAAATAAGAATTTAACATTATTTAGTTCAAACTCAAACCTTTATATGTTCAGAAATGGAGGTTTCTTCTTGTTAAAATTGAGTTTTTTCCTTTCCACTGTCGCCAGTGTGATTCAATTCAATCAGCTGGCTTCCTTAGATTGATTGTTTTTTGYACAATGCCCTGAGATGATAGTTGTTGTGACTTGGYGCTATATAGATAAACAAATGAACTGAAATTACCTGCATTTTATGCACTCAAACCCWGGAGCAGCATGCTTTCTAATAAATGTTGTGCATTTGAGCAACTGAATCTGTGAGATAAAAAAACACTATTACTGCAGGTGTTACAGCTCATCACAAGGCAGCCTTATTGGTCTGAGATCAGGACTTGTGAGGAATCTCCAACTTGAGGTGGTGAACTCAGAAACCCTGACTCTTGAATACAAATTAAAGGTTTCATTATTTCAAACTCCTTGCTTCTAAAAAATCCTTTTATACATTGATCTCAAATGTAAAACCCAGTACAGAAGTGCTGTTTTGTGGCACTTTTCTAACTTACAGATCTGAAATAGCATGCTATTTGAGCATTTATTCATGTATAATACGATCTCATATATAATACGACCCCCCCTTTATTTAGCTTAAAAAGCATAAAAAATTTAATCCTCAAACTACCTCCAATTTCATACAGACTTCAAGATTTTTCAGCCTTTGCAGTCTTTATATACTGTATACAGTATATCAGTAAAATGATCATTGGACTGTTCATTTTATTTTAACAACAAATGTACTAAAAGGTATTTTGACAACAAATATACTGTATATCAGCTGTAGCAGCATCATATGAATTCTGGCATTTGGCACATAGTCCACCAGGATGCGCCAACACAAAAGTCAGAGACTTCACATGAGATTTTGTCCATCTTCTGGGGGAAAAGCAGATTACTTCCTACTCGCGAGCGCCCCCTCTGGTGGGGAAACGTTTTTTTCAGAGATACAAACTTTTTCAGAACACCTGTAGACGGCAGCCATTACAGACGAACATGTGTTTGTTGTTGTTCCAGCAGCGGCTCAGTCCCACGCTAATGTCATTAGTTTGCTATCATTACTGAGGTGCAGGACTGCCTTTTTTCCCACTTTTTTCACATCATGTTGCCTGCCTGGATCTGTTACTATCTTGCTCTGAAGCATGAAGGAGTGTCACAGGTAAGCTCGTTTCAACTGCTTTTGACGTCGTGGTCTTATTTCCGGACTCAGGCATTTTGTGAATGAAGCCGATATTTCAGTTAAAAAACATAAGTAAAAATATTTATCTGAGTATAGTACTACCCCCCAACTTTCTGGATGATTTTATGTATTTAATTTTACATATTATCCTTGAATAAATACGGTAATTTGTGGTAGACAAATGTAGGTTATTATGTCACTACTATTTACCTGGAMGCTGTGAAGATCTGTCTGGAGTTGGTGCATATGGCATTAATGGGGCTCTCGTGACCTCTGACCTCTCCTATGGGTGTGAAGTTTTCCACGTTCCACACTTTGAGCATGCCGCCCCGACAGGCGCTCAGCAGCATGGGCCGACCAGGTACRTAGGCCAGAGCGCACACCCAGTCCTTGTGAGCATTGGGGATTTGCTGAAAAATAAATAAATAAAAAAGCAGAAAGAGAAACACATTAGAAGAAGAAAAGMGCTCACGCTGCCTTCCATACATAAAAAAATAAACCAGCCGCATGTGTGCGTTATCTGGGTTGCTGCACTCTTTAAATAGCAGCAGATAAACATACATGTTTTATTTTTAATGAACAGATATTATCACGAGAATACCGCCTTTTTCCTTGAACGGAAAGTGCACTTTGTCGTTGCTAGGCAATGTTAAAGTACAAGTTTTTTTAAGACTGTTTTTAGATTCAGAGCCACAGTTATTCTTAGATTGCGTGTCTATGTGCTGTGTTTTACAACGACTTTAAAAGGAAATCATAAACTAAGAGTTCACATCACCACGAAGCTCTGGTTTATAAGAATTTGGCAAGGAATGAAAATAAAGGTGACAATTGGTGTTTTTTTCTGGCCAATTATTATTACTATTTTTAAATAAGACCTGTTCCAGTTTTATCCATTTCAAAATAAAGAACTATTTATTTCGGTTTGAATGTAATCTAACCCCCACAGGGAAATCTAGCGTGATGTTAAAGTTTTCATAATCTACAAATAAATTTTAACTACCTATTTCACATCACAGGGTTTTATGTCGACATGTAATTGGGTTTTTTTAAAGGATATTGGCAAATAAACACAAGACAGAAGCAGTGAAGCTCACGGTTATTTATCTGTAGGACAAGCTGGACGTGTTAAAGATTTATTTGGCTGAAACTATTGGACGATTTATGGGGTTCATCTGTGGGAAATCTTACCCATCAAATCTTTATATTTATTCCTACAGCAGGATTTCAACATGTTCTATTGATGTAGAGTAAAAAGGCTAAAGCTGACTAAATATCATGTCTTTTCAAACACATATTTATGAAATAAAATGGAAACTTCAAAATCTTTGTTTACATCCAGTTTGAATTAGGGGAAAACCCCTTACACTTTAACACTGTTTATAATATTTTATTAAGATATTTAACATACAAAAGTTCATATCAGCCACAACATGTTTTTTTAAGTTTATCTATTATTTCATACAGAAACATTTTCAGTTCAACCCAGATGGATTAACTTATAAATCTAATGATTTAACAGCAACATTCTGTTTAACTCAATTCAACATGATCCAAACTAATGTTCACCTTAAATTTAAAAGTGTTATTCTGCWTTGTTTTTTCATTAATGAAAAAATAATTAATTAAATATATCTTAATATGTTAAGGTATAAATCCATGTTTTCATTTTTAAGTAACTTAAGCAAAATTTGAGCCAAAAACATTTTCGGACATTACTCAAATTAGCCCTAAAACWCAACTTATTTCTACAAGTCTTGAATATATTCAGCGCATATTTAAAAATAAGATAATTCAAAAAGTGTTTATTCATTTTTTTACAGCAAAACTTGATAAACACAGAAGAGAAAGTGTTTTATTTTAATATCATCTTTAAAACAAAACTGGCTGTATATAAACTCTGTATCACTGCCTTGCATACCAAAAGTTTAAACAAAGATCTGACTCAATCTAGTTGCATTCTGAGGATGTGTTGTGGAGAACTCTCAGCTACCACCACAACCAATTTTAGCTCAGTATCTGTAAAMCTTGAGTTCCAGCCTTGTWTGTTTGCTAATGACGGTTAGCTGCAGTGGCCATCTTGAATCAAATTGTTAACAAAACACAAATGTACATTCAGTGATTTGGATGGTTTATGAGATCTTTTGGAAACAGTCAAACTCACACATATAGGGAATTACATGATCTCTTGCATTCATGACAAGGAGAACAATATAATCAAATGGATAAACATGCCTACAGATATTTGCTACTTGTTAAAAAGGTTAAAATCCACCCAAAATGTTAGACTTTGAGATTCAAATGATCAAATTCTCATTTTTACATCTTTAATGCAAACAGAATCATTCAAACATTTGGATCTGTTTAAACAGCATCATTTGATACATTGTTTCTTAAGAACTGAGCCCCTTTTTGAGTCTGGTAACTAACACAATGTCATTGTTAATTAGATCTTCTGAACTCTCAAAGCACAACATCATTTGAATTGTTGCCGTATCAAACACTTCAAACAGATTAGCTTTTCTCTGTGACTGTGAGCAGACCCGTGGCTGCTGGTCATGTGATACTGAAATCTATTTTCAAAGCTAAAAAGCACATATATTTCCCTCATGCTTGTCTTTCAGCTTCGATTGCCATCATAAGCTACTACGAGAGCTCTCCTATGTACTGAGCAGAAAAATGTTTTTTTWAATCAAACTACTTTTCCTTTTAGCATCATAAAGTACAAGCCTRAAAGAAGTGGAAAATCTGCAAATTGTTTCTTTAGTGTAAGTTTTGATGCRTCTTGCCATGGATATATATGTATATGTTAAAACATTGGTTATGACTGGGATTTTGCTGTGATTTAACTCAGCCATACTCCAGAGTAGAAATGCTGTTAAAACAGTAAACAAGTCRCAACATAATGAGTTATCACTGATATTAAAATGAGGGTGTACAGGGGTTAGACAATGAAACTGAAACACCTGGTTTTAGACCATAACATCCCTTTCAGACAGCTTCCTCCTGCGTCCACAGTTAATCCTGTTGGATGCGGTTGGTCCTTCWTGGTGGTATGTTGACATTACCCTGGATACCGTGGCTCTTGATACATCACAAAACCTTGATGTCTTGGTCACAGATGCTCCAGCAAGACGTGCACCAACAATTTGTCCTCTTTTGAACTCTGGTACGTTACCCATAATGTTGTGTACATTGTAATATTTTGAGCAAAACTGTGTTCTTAGCCTGCTAATTGAACCTTCACACTCTGATCTTACTGGTGCAATGTGCAATTAATGAATACTGACCACCAGGCTGGTCCAATTTAGCCATGAAACCTCCCACAGTCAAATGACAGGTGTTTCAGTTTCATTGTCTAACTCTAACCCCTGTATTTAGTGCTTTGAGCTGCTTCAACTTTTTTCAAATGCTTCACAAACAAACTCTTTTTACTTTCCGAGCTTTTAAATCTTATATGCATGGAGATGTAACCATTTTTATGGTCTTTCATCTTATTGTGCCTGACCACTGGAGGATTTACAAATTTCTCTTAGATCACCCTGGAGCACAAAGTGAGTACAAAAACTCTAATTCACTCAGATTTTTAAACTCAGAATTATTCATTCATTCATTCATTCATTCATTCATTCATTCATTCATTCATTCATTCATATTGGTTAGCACTGGGCTGTGATTTTAGGACCAATGTTGATTTAATGCATCAAGACTTGTCGTGGATGAAAGTCGAAGAAAGACTCATATAGTCTTCTTTTTTAGAAAGTTACAAAACACTTTTGACCTTTTTTCACCACTTCTACCCACTTTAGACAGACATGCTTCTGGTGTACCGTTTTCTTTACCCCTGCCAAGAACAAATGCAGTTTTGTATAGAGCTATTTCTTATTGGAATAAGTTGGCTTTGAACCTAACAATTTTAGAAATATACAATAAATTTATCTAAATGCAACATTACATTTTTTAATGATTCTTAAAATTCCAAAAAGTCCAATCCATTAAGCCAATAATTTAGTGATTTAACAGTGATTTTCCCTTGTGTTTCTTTTTGTATTGTATTTAGACATATTTGAGACATATTCTATTTTGCTGTTGTAAGTTGGTTTCTTTGGTTTAAGGTTTGCACTGGCTGTTTCTGATTTTGTTTTTTTTTTTACTGATWTTGTTTTATTGTTGATTGTATTGTTTTTGTTTTAATGTCTTTTATTTGGTGTGTTTTCAGCCTCAGGAAGAGTAGTCTCTACCTATGCAGAGACTGACGAGGACCCATTTAAATAAATAAATCAATAAAAACACTGTGCAAATATAAAAATGTACACATACAGTTAACAGAAGATCCTGTCAGTAGAAGAAGAAATCCTTCGATACAACTTATAGTTTACAAGCAGCAATTCTTTGTTTCAGGCTCAATTTCCTGTCTGTGACTCTTTGTCTGCCTGCTATATGCAATACACAAATCCTCATAAAATGCTGATGTGTGTTAAATATTCAGGCAGTAGCTGCATTGGCGCCTTTCAACATGTCTTCAGGTTCTAGTTCTGGTTGTTAATTGTTAATGATCTTTGTTTATTTTGGCAGCATCAGTAGGCCTCCCAACCATCTAAATCCAAAGAGAGAATAAAAATGACAACTTTATGTGTTTTTCTGTTGCAGATCTTTAATCTTATCCTTTTAATCTCACAACTGCTCTACTCCAATAAGATCCACAATGGACTTCTTTGTTTATTGTTCAATTTAATGCTTGTGTTGACAATCTTATGCAGGAACCTAGAAATATACAAAAGTTCATGAAATAGTTTAACAGTGTTAGGGACAAAGGTAAATGTGGTGTACATGTTCTGATAAGCTGATACTTTTTATTTATTTATTTTTTGTCATGTACCAATTAAAGTTTTAGGCTTGGAAAAGTTGAAGAACAAAATGCAACAGGACTTGCACACAGAAAAACAAATAAATTACGTTTTCCACACTTTCTGTAACACCTTTCCACTTTCTTTGCAACACCTCAACAGGAACACCAGTTACATAAGCTCTTCAGAAAGCTGGCAAAAATATGTTTCAAATTGTTTTGGGAAACTATATAAAGATATTCATAGTGAAGAAAAGGACTAAACTACAGCACACAGTAATTATGAGCATACTGCTTCACATATCCCTTAAGGACAAACACAAGCAAGAATGAATTTTATTGTGGTGGTCAGAGCCGAGTACCCCACCCCCCCAGCTGTAATCCGGAGGAGTTTAGAGTCTACTGTAATATATTCTATTACACCCAAAGCCACAATTTGATCCCATTATATAATTATATGGAGACCACTGAGCTGGAGAGGCTGCAAAATAGATTGTGCTGGCTGCTCCACAAAATGTGGTTAAGGTCATATCGCGCAGTCCGCAGCGGAGACCGAGCTGATTTAATTCCAGCTTTGAAAAGAGATAATTACAACCCGTGTGCTCGTTTTGTCTGTTCCGATAAACAAATGCCAAACAGAAGAGATGCAAAAACAAACTGAGAAAGTACTGCAAATGCAAATGAGCGAGCCGCATCCACCCACGAGCTGCAACATTATGCATTATTAACATATGCGGGCAACAGAAGATGTACAGGAGACACCACGATATGCAACACAAGGAGTTTCTTCACAGGTGCTTGTAGCTGAGGTGAGACTGGGCTCTAACTATCTGCCGCTGGCTCGCTGCCTTCCTGTCACATTACACATAACAACACACCGCCGACTCCCTCACCAGAGCAAGCACTCTGTGTAAAGGAGGCACGAAGGAACACTCGGGTGGCAGGGAGCTGCCCACCAGCAGAGCAGACAACCAGCAGCACAACTTTTCATTGTCATCACTGAGCCGCTTGCAGATGAGGAGAAAACCATCGTCTCCACCAGCGTCTGCAAAGAGACTGTGATCTAGACTGGATTTAGGACAAGTCCTGTTTGAGYAATATTCAAGAAAATACCAGCTATTCATCTGTAGTGTACATTTCAATCATATCTTCTCTTATTCAAATTATCTTTAAGAAAATTTCACAATAAGAGTTTGACAGAATTAGCATTTCATTTTGTTTTGTTTTTTTAATTATGCCTGACAGGAAGTCCAGATAAAATATGACTTTTGTCCTGACAAAGAAAATGAAAGCAGGTGACTTTTTTTATCAAATGAGCAAAAAATGTGAAACAATGCTGCAAAAATTCATGAGGCATGAAACTGTTATGAATAATAATAAAAAAAAAAGCATCAAAGATAAGGATAAAAAAATCAGTGTTCACAAACTAGGTTAGAAATCATTCGTTTTTAATATCAGCTTCCTGAGTGTCTAATACTGTTCAGTC